CAGTGAGCTAAGCAGTTATCCATTTGTTTTGCTTTCAGTGAAAGGGATCAAACCTAGGGCCTGTGCACCATAGGTGAATGCTACATTCCCAACCCTGGTTTAAGAAACAAGGTCTCGGGCTAGGAAGGTGGCTCAGTGGTAGAGCGCTTGTCTTGCATACATGAGGCCCTGGGTTCGATTCCTCAGCACCACATAAGCAGAAAAAAGCCAGTAGTGGTGCTGTGGTTCAAGTGGCAGAGTGCTAGCCTTGAGCTGAAGAGCTGAGGGACAGCGCCCAGGCCCAGCGTTCAGACCACTGGACCGGCAAAAAAGAAAAAGAAAGAAGGTCACACTGAAGTAGACATAGTTACTCCTCCTTAGTAACTTCCCAGCAAAGTCCATTTTACCGGAATGTGGGCTTTGAGCAGACCAGGGGCACAATCTAGGTTGATAACAGAAAGCCCACAAGGTAATTTTGAACTGCACACCTGTCCCGGTTAGTGTCACCCCCAACTAACCTTTGCCTTCCTGATTAATGACCTGTCTTTTTCTGTGTGACCAGCTTGTATAAAACCCAGGGCCTCCCATCCCTTGGGATCTGAACTCTTTCTGGCACTAGCCTGGTTCAGGTTGAAGGCAATAAACTCTTTTATTCTCTCTAAAAAATGGTCTTGATCTTTGCTGTTCTGTTATGCCTAACAAATAGATTGACAGGACCTGCTGTATTCCTCCAGCTCAGACAGAATAGACAGTGAATAACAGGTGCAATTTTGAGGGCTTTCTCTTTCTCTCTTTTTCTTCTTTCTCTCTTTATTTCTTTCTCTCTTTCTTTCTGTGTGCTGAGGGTGTCAATTGAACTCATGATGTCCTGCTTTTGCTTAGTTTTTTTTCTGCTCAGAGCTGACACAACACCTGAGCTGCACCCTACTTTCAGGCTTTTGCTGGATAATGGGAATAAGAAGCTCTGGGATTTATCTACCTGCATCCCAACTTAGATCTTATCTCAGTCTCCTACATAGCTAAGATTACAGATGTGAATCATTTTGAGCCTTTAACTCCCATTTCCTGCATGGAGAGCAGGAAATGTTTCTTTTTCATTTTCCCCTATGTTAACCCTACTATACTAAAATTCTTGTTAAAACTTTCACCTTGTAAGATTCTTCTTTTTCCTCTTTTTTTTTTTTTGGCTGGTCATGGGACCTGAACTCAGAGCCTGGGCACTGTCCCTCAGTTCTTCAGCTCAAGGCTAGCGTTCTACCACTTGAGCCATAGCACCACTTCCAGCTTTTTCTGCTTATGAGGTGCTAAGGAATTGAACCCAGAGCCTCATGCATGCAAGGCAAGCACTATACCACTGAGCTACCTTCCCAGCCCTCTTTGTTGTTGTTGTTGATTGTGGAGCTTGAACTCTGGGCCTCGACTCTGTCCCTCAGCTCTTCAGCTCAAGGCTTTTCTTGTTTATGTGGTGCTGAGGAATCGAACCCAGGGCCTCATGCAAAGCAAAGCACTCTACCAGTGAGCCACATTCCCAGCCCCCAAAACTGTGATTTTTGTGTGGAAACTTGGAAGCTGAGGAAAACTCTAGCATCTATCCTTATCCTTTGGGATATTACCACTCTGTCTATTCTAGCCTACCAGAATTACTCAAAGAAAGTCAGTGTTAGGTCTGACTACTAGCCCCTTCTGCCAAAGACATAGCGAAGAGCAGAGAAAGGAGATATATGGCAGCCTTGGGAAGACAGCACAGCACTCCATTATACCTTAAGCCGTTTTCCAAGGTACAGATATTAGCTTCAGATTAGAAAAGGAAAAGGACTTGAGAAAGATAATGCATTGGTAAAACAGTCCCAATAGGGCTGGGAAAGTGGTAGAGTGCATGCCTAGCACACATGATGCCCTGGGTTTGATTCTTCAGTACCACATAAACAGAAAAGGCTGTGGTGCTGTGGCTCAAGTGGTAGAGTGCTTGATGAGTCCAGGACTGAGGAAAAAAAGTCCCAAAATCACTGTGTGGCTGAGCTGACCATTCTCAGTCTTTGTCATAGTTCTATCACTTATTACTGGAAACCACAGAAACAAGTTGCCTAATGAGCAGTCTACAGAGTTTTGGGCTATTTGCTTTATGCTTGTTTGTGGGGCAGTTTGCTTTCCACATAGTGCTTACTGGTAAATTTTCTTGTTCCTGGAACCCAAGGAGATTGGCAGAGGGATTGCAGGAGACCAGCAGCTCAAATCAAAGGGTATAGATACAAAATTGGAGGACTCTTAGTTAACTCACAGAGCTCAGCATAAGTATCTTTTACTTTTTTTTGTTGGTTGTGGGACCTGTCACTGAGCTCTTCAGCTCAGAGCGAGCATTGTGCCATTAGTCCCAGCATCACTTCCAGTTTTCTGGTGGCTATTTGGAGATAAGAGTCTCATGGACTTTCCTGCCTGAGCTGGCTTTGAACCATATTCCTCAGATCTCAGCCTCCTGAGTAGCTAGGATTACAGGTGTGAGGTAGGAAAGTCTGTAAGATTCTCTGCTTTTTCTTTTTTTGTCGACTGGGGGCTTGAGCTCTGGGCCTGGGCCCTGTCCCTGAGCTCTTCCGCTCGAGGCTAGTGCTCTACCACTTGAGCCACAGGCGCCCAGCCCTGAGAGACTCAACACTGTAAAACCAGAAATGGCACTGAGGTTCAAGTGAGTGCCAGCCTTGAGCAAAAAGAGATTCAGGGACAGCACCCAGGTCTGAATTCAAACCCCACAAACGAAAACCAAGATTGCCCTTGCTTAAAAGGGAGAATTGGGAGTCCTTGAAGTCGGCCTTCTGATTGATGAATCTCCTCCCTGTTTCCTGTTTGAGACTCCAAAGAGCAAAGATTTAGTGCTCTGTCCTTATTTTCTCATTCTCTTGTCTTTCTCTCCTTTTGTAGTCTTCCTGCCCCATTTCGTTGTAAAGTACTGGCTTATCAGCTTATCTTGCTGTGTACAAGTTCTATAGGCCCCAATTCCGACAGTGCTTTTCTAGTAACTGGTTTTACTAACTGTCCTATTACTACTGAGCTATAGAATTGCCAGTTTTAGCCAGACACCAGTGCTCACACCTGTAATCCTAGCTAATTCAGGAAACAGAATATCCGAGGACTGTAATTCAAAGCCAGACCAGGTAGGAAAGTCTGTAAAACTCTCTACTTTTTTTTCTTCTTTTATTGTTTTGTTGTAGGGCTTGAACTCTGGGCCTGGGCACTGTCCCTAGCTCTTTAGCTCAAGGCAAGTGCTCTACCACTTGAGCCACAGTGCCATTTTCGGGTTTTTGGTAGTTAATTGGAGATAAGAGTCTCACAAGCCGGGTGCCGGTGGCTCACACCTGTAATCCTAGCTACTCAGGAGGCTGAGATCTGAGGATGACAGTTCAAAGCCAGCCAGGCAGGAAAGTCCATGAAACTGTTATCTCCAATAAACCACCAGAAAAAAAACGAAAGTGGCGCTGTGGCTCAAGAGGTAGAGAGCTCACCTTGACTAACCAAAAAAAAAAAAAAAAAGTCTCATGGACTTTCCTGCTTGGACTTGGCTTTGAACTGTGATTCTCAGATCTCAGCCTTCTGAGCAGCTTGGATTAGAAGTGTAAGCCACCAGCGCCCGGCTTGTGAGACTCCTTCAATTAACCATCAAAAAAGCCATAAGTGGAGCTGTGGATTAAGTGGTAAAGCACTAGCCCACAGTGAAAAAGGTCAAAGACAGCACCCAGGCCCAGAGTTCAAGTTTGGCACACAGACACACACACACACACAAGAAAGCCTATTTTCCAGCTTTAAGTCCCTCCCTCCAGAAGTTTAAGTGCACAAATGCAAAAGCATTACCCTATGACCACAGAAGTGAGCCAGCACATTGATTGTTTTTCACACTTGGAAGACTTATAGAGGTCAGCTCCTCTATAAATGAAGTCATAAAGTACCAGAAGACATCCTTATCTTTTAAACATCTCAGCATAAAAATGATATGCTCTGCTCTCTCTGCTTTTCTAGCTCTTTCTCAGCTCCCTTCTCTTTCCTCTCTCTCTCTGCTCTTCCTAGCTCTTCTCTTTTCTAGCATTTTCTCTCTTTTCTAGCTCTCTCTCTGCTCTTTTCTAGCTCTCTCTGCTCCCTGCTCTCTCTGTTCTTTTCTAGCTCTTTTCTCTTTCCCAGCTCTCTCTCTTTCCCAGCTCTCCCAGCTCTTTCCCAGGCCTTTCCCTACCACGTGGAGGACCAAGATGGCCTGGTGCTAGCCGGAACGATGAATAAACCTACCCCTTACCTGAATACCACGTGTGTGGTGCTGTTCTTACTGGGCTACCTCTTTTTAAAACCTAACATTAAAAAACTTTAGGAAAAATGATATGCTCTGGTGCTGGGAAGGTGGCTCAGTGGTAGAGCGCTTGCCTTGCATGCATGAGGCCCTGGGTTCAATTCCTCAGCACCACATAAGCAGAAAAAGCCAGAAGTGGTGCTGTGGCTCAAGTGGTAGATCGCTAACGTTGAGTTGAAGAGCTGAGGGACAGTGCCCAGGCCCAGAGTTCAAGCCCCACAACCAACAACAGTAACAACAACAAAAAAAAACATCTGGGACAGGAGGGCTAGGAGTGTGGCTCCATGGTAGAGTGCTTGCCTGGCATGCATAAAGCCTCAGGTTTGATACCTCAGCATAACATAAACAGAAAACCCAGAAGTGGAGCGGTGGCTCAAGTGGTAAAATGCTATCCCTGAGCAAAAAGCAGCTTGGGGACAGTGCCTGAGGACAATGCTTCTTCCCTGTTTCTCAAAAACATAAAACTAAAAAGAATGCAGGTAGGTATTATCATCATTATTAAATCATGGGACTTGAACTCTGGGCCTGGGCATTGTCCCTCCTCTCTTCAGCTCAAGGTTAGTGCTCTACCACTTGAGCCACAGCACCACTTCCGGATTTTTTCTTTTTGCTTATGTGGTGCTGAGGAATGGAACCCAGGGCCTCATGCATGCAAGGCAAGTGCTCTACCACTGAGCCACCTTCCCAGCCCCCAAATCTTAACATTTGTTTCTGAATTGTTACATCAAGATCAAGCCACAATGCACACATTCCTGAGTATTCTCCATTGTAATGACATTGGTTTTTTTTTTCAGTATTTTTCTGCATTCAGCTTAAAAGGTGCTTCTTCCCAAGAAACTGAAGTTTTCTGTCAAATGCACTTGATCGAATAGGAGAATTGGGCTCATAAAATGGATTCATTGCAAACTTTATGTATAAATCATAGACATCAGTGAAGAAGTTCTTTATTCCATCTTCTTGCTTTATATCATGAAGCATAATAAATCTCATATGCCCTGCAGTGACGAATGCTGACACAAACCACTCATTGAATTTGTCCACAGTTTTCAAATACATATTGTTTGAAAGCCACATATTTTCATCCACAAGATCAAGAGCAGCATGAGCTATGAACTGGTTCAAATGGCGATGATCATCTTTCGATTCTGGTTTCCCAGCTGGCAAAAATTCCATTTCAAAAACTGGATTATCATGGTGGCCAACAATTACAAAGTAGAAGCTTCCAGACATTCTCTTCAATATACTGTTCCTATGAAGAGATTTCTGCAGTGGCAAAGGAGATTTGGTAGCTGATGAGAAAGGAGCCAGGACTCTCTCGCTTGTGGTACAAACAGCAGCTGTCCCTCGGTGTCGCTAGGGTGACTGGGGCTTCTGTAGTGAGATGCTGCCAGTGGACCCGCACTCCGCAGTTTCAACCCTAGACAGCACTATTTCTCTACAGAGGCAGCAAACAAATATAACAAACGAATATATCTTTAAGTTCTCCTTTACTATAATTTCTATTCAAGACTCAAAACAAAAAGTGCATTATGATAAATTTAAAAATATGCATTCTTCAGTATAAAGAAAAGGAAAAGGAGGGCTAGTGAGATAAAAGATATAGTGAGCTGGGCGCCGGTGGCTCACGTCTGTAATCCTAGCTACTCAGGAGGCTGAGATCTGAGGGTCACAGTTCAAAGCCAGCCCAGGCAGGAAAGTCCATGAGACTCTCATCTCCACTAAACCACTAGAAAACCAGAAGTGGCGCTGTGGTTCAAGCGGTAGAGTGCTCGCCTTGAGCTGAAGAGTGCAAGGACAGTGCCCAAGCCCAGAGTTCAAGCCCCAGGGCCGACAAAAAAAAAATAAATATATATATATATATATATATATTGAAAGTATGTAAATCCAATAAAATGAAAAGTGAAGTTGAAAAGCTGCAAAAAGTGATGAGACAGGGGAATATGAAAATGAGGTCAAAAATCTTTTCCTACAACATGAATTGTTTTCCACATCAGGTTATATTGAAAAATGCTAATTCATAACTAACCAGTGTATCTGGCTCTCGCTGGCTCCCTTTCCCAGTCTTTCTCACCCCATAGATTTGCCTTCAACCATACCTTACAGGGAAGATGCTAGGAGCACATCAGGATTCACAGTGAAGGAAGACAAGGGTAAGGGGTAGGAGTCACCTTACATATGCAAAACCTTTTGAATTGGAAGGAAAGTAGACCAATGATTGGGTCTCAGTCCTTTCTTGGATGAGACTTAGAAAAAAACTGAAAGAATTCTGAATGATGGTCTGGGCTTTAGGTACCACAAATTCATCCTTCCATTCCCTCCTCTTCTTGTTCTTTACCTTTCCCTTCTATCCCCTGTGCCTTCCTTCCATCCTCCCTCCTTCCACTTCTCACTTCTTCTCTTTCCTGAACCTTTCTTTTTTAAATTATTTAGTTGTTGATTGGACATGAAATACCAACTACTTTCTAGGTACTCTGTAAACTTCAGTGAACAAAGCTCACAAGTTCCATGCCCTTTAGCCTTGCATCTTTCTTAGGGGTAGGGGAGGCTTCAACTCAGGGCCTCTGTGCTGTCCCTCAGCATTTGTGCTCAAGACTAGCGCTCTACCTACCACTTGAACCACAATGCTACTTCCAGCTTTTTGGTGATTAATTGGAGATAAGACGATAAAAGTCTCACAGACTTCTGCCCCAACTAGCTTCAAACTGAGGTCTTCAAATCTCAGCCTCCTGAATAACTAGGATGACAGGTGTGTGCCACTGGAGCCCAGGTCAGCCTTAAATCTTAGTGGCATGGAAATAGAAAGCATAATCTGTAATCTACATGGTATATTCTTAATAAGTGATCCAGAAATATATGTACATTCATAGATATTTACATATTATATATCAGGACAGTAGCTGAGAAAACTTCTGGTATGGAAAGAACACTTTGGAGTCCTCAGGAGATGATGGCCATGGATGGTTGGTGATAGCTTCTCTGGCAAAGAAGTGTATTAAGGCTTCACTCCTGCGTGGATAGGCTTATGAGCTCACAGGCTGGTTTTTGTGGTTGAAGGACTTTTCATACAAACTGTATGTAAAAGGCTTCTCTCTCATGTGACTCGCCTGATACACTTGAAGGGCTGATGCTGACAGAAGCCTTTGTGACAAACAAGTGACCTCGCTCCTGTCTTCTCTAATGTGCTAGTCAGTGACAAACACCTATATGTATAGGGACAGTCCTCACATTTGTTTTGCAGCTTAATTTAATATGGGTGTCTGTCATACGAAGAGTTTCCCTTATTGCTCTGGTGAATAGAGAAGAGACAGGCTCAGAGGGGGTGCTCTGGCCTGGTAAGAAACCTTGGTTGCACCTCCACTGGATCTTGATAAATCATGTCCTTCCAGTGACTCTTTCCAGGACCTTCAGGTATCCATCCTTACTCATCTGGTGTTGTGTGAGTTCTTATTATAAGAAATACTTTCCTCTTTGGGCCTATAACCATTCTCTTTCTGGATAATGAAGAGGGAAGGTAGCTGATTTTCTTGACTAGTAGTACTGGCATTTACTTGAGTAAATTCTCAGAATTTTTGTTCATCATCTGTTTCCAAGAGAGTATGCTGGGGAGTCTTGAAGCCTGTCCCTGTATTGTCTTCTATGGAGTTACTACAGCTAACTGATTGTGCCTGACTCTGACCACTATGTAAAGGTTTGTTCTAAGAAAAGCCATTCCTGTCTCAGAATGCTGACATGGACTAAGACAGCTGGCTTCATGAAAATATTGGTCAAGTCTTCTGTTAGTCAATTTCTAATTGGTCAATTTCTTTTTTTTGGGGGGGGGGTTCAGTTGTGGGGCCTGAACTCAGGGCTTGGGCGCTGTCCCTCAACTCTTCAGCTCAGGGCTAGCGCTCTATCATTTGAGCCACAGCGCCACTTCCGGCTTTTTTCTTTTTGCTTATGTGGTGCTGAGGAATGGAACCCAGGGCCTCATGCATGCAAGGCAAGAGCTCTACCACTGAGCCACCTTCCCAGCCCTTGGTCAATTTCTCTAGGTTTCTGCTACTTCATATTTCTCTTTCCTTGCCTTTTTTTTTGGGGGGGAGAGGCAGTCGTGGGGCTTGAACTTAGGGCCTAGACACTGTCCCTGAGCTTGAGCCACTTGAGCCACAGCGCCGCTTGTGACTTTTTCTGTTTATGTGGTACTAAGGAATTGAACCCAAAGCTTTATGCATGCTGGGCAATCAATACCACTAAGCTACATTCCCAGCCCACATATCTCTTTCATAATGGACTTGTCCTGGCAGAGTCTGTTGATGAAGTGTACCAGGACCAAGAGCAAAAAAAAAAAAAAAAATTCATTCTTGTGCTTTTCTGGCTGCAGCCATGAGTAAAGACTCAGGTTGCCTATTTTTGTGGACAGCCTACTTATCCTTGGCTTAAATTCTAGATATGTGATTTAAGATCATTTGATGGCTGGGTGCTGGTGGCTCATGCCTGTAACCCTAGCTACTCAGGAGGCTGAGATCTTAGGACAGAGGTTCAAAGCCAGTCTGGGTAGCAAAGTCTGTGACTCTTACCTCCATTTAACCACCAGAAAACCAGAAGTGGAGTTGTGGCTCCAAGTGACAGAATGCAAGTCTTGAGCCCAAAAGCTCAGGGGCAGTGCCCAAGCCCTGAGTTCAGGCCCCAAAACCTTCCAAAAAAGATAATTTAGAGAAAGTTCACACTGAAGAGTTTTCAAGCTTTAAAGTCATTCTTGACAAGAGTTCTTACATAAACTTAAATTTGGATAGTCTCTGATCTTGCATCTCTGAGAATTTGTTTCAACTAGTGAATGTTTTAAAGGGTATAAACTTTTTCTTTTCTCACTTTAATTCTGTAATTCTGTCCTGCACACTGAGATGGTATCTTTCTGCTTTGTGGATTTTTATTTATTTTAAGGGGGGCTTGAACTCAAGACCTAGCCACTATCCCAGAGCTTCTTTTGCTCAAGGCTAGCAATCTACCACTTGAGCCACAGTGCCACTTCCAGCTTTTTTTTATGTAGTACTGAGGAATCGAACCCAGAGCTTCATGCATGCTAGGTAGGCACTCTACCATTAAGCCAAACTCCCAGCCCTCTTCTGTTTTAGTCCATCTTTTTAACTATTCACTTCAGCCACAGCTCCACTTCTGGTTTTCTGGTGGTTTATTGGAGATAAAGAGTTTCACAGACTTTTACGCCTGGGCTGGCTTTGAACTGCGATCCTCAGCTCAGCCTCCTGAGTAGCTAGAATTACAAGCATGAGCACTGCACCAGTGCCCAGCTCTTGAGTAGGCTTTATAATGTCCTCAGTTCTATTTCCCACAAATTCTCTTGGCTCTGTTTTCTTCCAAATGTCAGTATTGGGGTGGGGGAAGGTTAAGGGGACACTGGGACTTGAACTCAGGGCTTCACGTACTCACTTAATTTTAATTGTTATTATAAAGGTGATGTACAGAGGGGTTTCAGTTAAATAAGTCAGGTAAAGAGTATATTTCTCTTTGGACAGTGTAACTCCTTTCCTTGCTCTCTTCCACTCACTGGTGTTCTACCAGTTGGGCCATACCTCCACTACTGACCTTCTGCTGGTTAATTTGAGAGAGAAGCCAGGGCTGGCTTAGAATCATGTTCCTAAGATCAGAGTAGTTAGGATTCTTATACTGTTCTCTCTTCCCCTAGTGGTACAATGATTTTGGTCTTATTCCTGCACATCTCTCACTCTAGATCTCTCCTCAATGCCTAGCTCAGCACTAACCCAATTTTTGAAAGAATGCCTGTGCTCCTTTAAACGAGCATTAGGCAAGAGGGCTGTCCAAGATCTATAGACCGATGGAAGCTTTCCCCATGGTACTAGGATACAACAGGTGTAGAGATGGTAACAACAAAGTCCAGTAGAGTGAGCCAAGGAGGCATCTGGAAATGTGATTCCAGAGCTAAAGAGATACAGAATTGAGCCATTTGCATTGACGTGAATTTGAAGAGTTGGGAGAGTTTGAGATTATTTAGGGTGACAGTGTATTGTGAGAAGAACAAGAGATCACTGAGAAACAGTCACATTAAAGGACCAATGCTGAGTTTTTCAGCCAGCAAAAGAAAGTGATATGGGGCCAGAAGGGTAGTATTTGTGAACCCAGGGTAGTAAAAACTACCTCTTATCTCTAAAGCCTTGGGAACAGGATTTTAAAAGCTTAACTTTCATTTGTTTTCTTACCTCTCCAACTAGTATAGATCTTCACAGGGTAATGCTTTGCTTTGCTTACTTCCTTTTCTTTCTCACCAGGTCCATTTATGTTTCTTGTATATGGCAAGTGACTCATTAGTGCGTGTGTTTTAGTTCTGGGGCTTGAACTTAAGGCCTGGGCCCTGTATCTGAGGTTCTTGGCTCTAAGGCTAGCACTCTACTACTTGAGCCACAGCTCCCTTTCTGGCCTTTTGATGGTTAAGTGAAAATAAGAGTCTCTCAGACTTTCTTGCTTGGACCAGCTCTGAACTAAAAGCCTCAGACCTCAGTCTCCTGAGTGAGCCATTGGTGCCTGGCTTAGTATCTTTTTTTTTTTTTTCCTTACTGTGGTGGGAAATTTGATCAAGAATGTTCAAAGCCAGGTGCCCTTTTTTTTTTATCATTTAAAATTCATTAATATATATTCATGATAGTACTGTAATTCATAGTTTTCCTAGTGGAAAACAATAGCAAATACATAAATTGGAAAAGTAGTAAAATTGTCCCACAGTATCTTACATGTACAAAGTCCTGAAGATATACACACACATGAAAAAGAAAACTATATAGAGAACCTCAAAACTGTCTGATGAAATGCAGCTTAGGTGCAGGTGGTTGATGCCATTGATTCTATGATTCTAACTACTCAGGAGGCTGAGATCCAACAATCCCAGTTCAAAGCTACCTAAGAAAGGAAAGTCTGTGAGACTCTTTCTTCCAATTAACCACCAGAAAACTGCAGGTAGAGCTGTGGTTCAAGTGGTATAGCACCAGCCTTGAGTGAAAAAGCTAAGGAACAGTCACCAGGCACCGAGTTCAAGCCTCAGGATGGACACAATAGAAAAATAAACAAAAATAGGCAGAAAGGTACAGGTTACAAAGTCAAAAGTCAGGTACAGTGGCATGTGCCAGGAGTCCCCACTACTTGGGCAGCTGAACTGGGAATATCCTTTGAGCTCAGGAATTAAGAGTCCAGACTAAGAAACACGGCAAAATGTTTTATCTCTAATACATAGTTAGATAGATGAACAAAGACTAAAAAGTCATCTGCAAGGCCAGTTGTGGTAATACATACCTTCAATTTCAGCATTTGGGAGGTTGAAGGAGAATTGAGAGTTCAATGCCAACCTGGGCAATACAGTGATATCCTGTTGCAAAAGAAAAAAAGTCTGGTGCCATGGTTTAATGAATAAAATGCCTGCCTAGCAAACATGAAGCCCTGAGTTCAAACCTCAGTAACATTAAAAAACAAAAACAAAACAAAAAAACTTGGGCTGGGAATGTGGCTTAGTGGTAGAGTACTTGTCTAGCATGCATGAAGCCTTGGGTTTGATTCCTCAGTACCACATAAACAGAAAAAGCTGGAAGTGTCACTGTGACACTGTGATAGATTGCTAGCCTTGAGCAAAAGAAGCCCTGGGACACTGCCCAGGCCCTGAGTTCAAGCCCCTGAGTACACATGTGTATATACACACACATACAGAGGAATCAAAGGAGGTGAAAGATTTGTTCCTTCCTGAAAACTATAAAACCTTGTAAATACAAATAAAATTACAGATTCAATGTCATCCCTACCAAAATTCTTATGATATTTTATGTAGAATTAAAAATTCAATAGCATAGTGCTGGTGCTCACACCTGTGATCCTAGCTGCTCTGGAGGCTGAGATCTGAAGAGATGTCCTAAGCCAGTCTGGGCAGGAAAGTCTGAGACTCTTTTTCTCTTTTGCTAGTCCAGGTGCTTGAACTCAGGGCCTGGGCACTGTTCCTGAGCTTCTATTGAGTCACAGCACCACTTCTGGCTTTTTCTGTTTATGTGGTACTGAGGATTCAAACTCAGGGCTTTACACATGCTAGGCAAACACTACCACCTAAGCCACATTGGCAGCCCCTGTGAGACTCCACTAAATTAACTAAAAAAGGTGGAAGTGGAACTATGGCTCAAGTAGTAGACACCAGCTTTGAGCAAAAGGTCTTCAAGGACCTGAGTTCAAGCCCCAGGATCCATATACATGTACATGTACACACACACACACACAACACACACACACACACACACAACACACACACACACACACACACAACACACACACACACACAACACACACACAATTCATCCTAAATTTGAATAGTATCTCAAGAAACCCTGAATAACAAAAGTTCTCTTTTTTTTGGTGCTGATCCTGGGGTTTGAATACTGTCTCTGAGCTGCTTATGCTCAAGACTAGTCTTACCTCCACCTCCAGTTTGTGTGCATGTTTAATTGGAGACAGTCTCATGGACTTTCCTTCCTGGGCTGACTTTTAACTGCAATCCTCAGATTTCATCCTCCTAAGCAGCTAGGATTACAGGCATGAGCCATAGGCACCTGGCTTTCCCCCCCTCCCCCAATTGGTGAAGATTTTCAAGCACCGGTCATTTGTATATTACTTTTTGTGTGTGAACAATTTATATTCTGAACCTACACATATATTGCTACTATCTATGTTATTATTATGAACCTTTCACTTTTTATTTATGGTATCACTCCTTTGTTTAGTATATTCATCTTTCTTGTAATTAGCTGTATAAAACAAGTACTTGGGATTTTGCAACAACCAGGAAAATTCAAGTTAAAACACACTTATGGGGGCTGGGAATGTTACTTAGTGGTAGAGTGCTTGTCTAGCATGCATGAAGTTCTGGGCAGGATTCCTCAGTACCACATAAACAGAAAATACCAGAAGTAGCATAGTGGCTCAAGGGGTAGAGTGCTAGCCTTGAGCAAAAGAAGCCCTGGGACACTGCCCAGGCCCTGAGTTCAAGCTCCAGGACTGGCAAAAACAAAAACAAAAAACACGGTTATGTTTTCAAAGACATATGCACATAGGCACACGCATGCATACATAATTTTTTGTTTAAAGTTCCACAATTCAAGTCACTGTACTACAGATTTAGCCCATCAACTTCATAGAATCACTACCTCAGACTCAAAATTTGAGTACAGTTCTAGACTGCAGATTGAGAGACAAGAAGCTTGATTTGTACCAACTTGTAATAATGGTTAACTAGGAAAGACTGAGTTTTTACCAGAAATGGTTAATTTTTCTAAAAACCATTTTCTGTGTTCAATATCCACTCTAGTTAAAAGAAAGAAAAAAACCCACCCTTGCAGATTATACTAATTTGCTGAAGGTGACTCAGCTCATAGAGGAGTAATTAACCAAAGAGCTGAGGTAGAAATTATAGGGCAGGATGATCAAATGAAAGTTAGGAAGACAATTTACAACTAACACTTACCCCTTCTGCAGGATAGGCAAAGAGGCATCTTTGTGAGATCTTTATACTTACTGTTCAAGTAATATTTTATTTCATATTATGATGTGCAGGCTGGTCTCAAAATCCTGTGTTCAGGGATCCTCCTGCCAGAGCAAGGCAGGTGAGATTATGGCCCCTACCTACCACCTTGTCAGGCACTGTGGTCTCATTTTAAAATTTGTGACCTAATTAGTCCTAAATTTTGGAAATTTCCTCCCCTCTCCTCGCACGAGTCTCAACGGCTAAAATGTAAGAGATGAAAGAATCGATTAAAGCTAAAAAGTGTTGGTTTTTTTCAGGTTTTTTTTTTTTTGGGTGGGGGGAGGTTCCAGTCGTGGGGCCTGAACTCTGGGCCTGGGTGCTGTTCCTGCACTCTTCAGTTCAATGCGAGCCCTCTACCACTTGAGCTACAGCGCCACTTCCGGTTTTCTGGTGGTTCATTGGAGATAAGAGTCTCATGGACTTTCCTGCCTGGGCTGGCTTTGAACCGTGATCCTCAGATCTCAACCTCCTGAGTAGCTAGGATTACAGGCCTGAGCCACCGGCGTCAGACTTTGAGACAAGTTTTGTTATAACCCAGACCAGCCTCAAATTCCTCATGTGGCGCTCCTAACCCTCCTGCCTCAGTCTGCTAAATGCTGGGATTGTAACTATACCCCACTTATACCCAACCAGAAAGTGCAGTCCTTCACCTCATCCCTACTCCAAGAGCCTAAAAACCAAACCAAAAAGGTTAACAAGCGGGAGGTTACCCGCTGCCTTCCCCACCCCTGGCCCTCGGTACGCTTACGCAGTCGATTTTAGTCATCTTTCCGCTGCGCTATATTGTTAGGGTAAAAGTGGCCGAAAACTGCCACCGTCGACAAGCTTGCAGCCCGCCCTCCCCATTTTCACCCAGGCCTGCTTCATCAGTTCAGACGATTCCTACAGAGGTAGTGGGTCGCCGGGACATCAGCGCGTGCCCACCTTTGCCCAGGCAGAAGACATCCAAGATTACAGTTGAGATCCACTGGCTCAGCAAAGGGGATGACACGTGGGACAACACCGCCGACGAAACACAACAGAAAAGGCCACCGTGGAGAGCAGCCGACGCGGAACCGCAGCCCGCTTCCTCCACGGACCGGATCTACATCCTCCGCGCCCTGACGACAGGGGTGACGTCACGGAGACGCCGCTCGCGCTGGCCCCGCCTCCCTCGATGCTTAGGGCAGGCTCCGGGAACGCGCATGCTCGGTAGGCGGGGCTGGCCGGGGTCTCGAGGCGCTGCCCATCTGTTGCGCCGCCGCCCGCCGGATCTGGCAGATCCGGGTCTCGTGGCTAAGAGTGACGTGGTCAATCGAATCCAAACAGAGGGCGGGGCGGAGGCCGGCGGGGCTGAAGCACCAGCGGCCGCCGCGTCGGGAGGCCGGAGCTGCCGCAGCGTCCCGGAAGCCTCAGGCGGTCTCGCAACCGCGACTGGGTTTCTGCTCCCACCCTCCCCGCCCCGTCGGTTGTGGTCTGGGCGGGTGAGTGTGTTCCCCTCGCCCACCGCCGTGGTGACCCTCACCCGACCTGGGTTTTTCTCGTGGGGGGCGGCGCGGCTGCTGCCCGGGGCTGGGCAGCCGCGGCGGTCCGGCCCGGGGAGCGGCGAGGCGGAGACTTGCGGTGGAGGAAAGCCAGGGCCCGGGTGGGAAGATGGACAGTAGCCGCGGGTGCTCTGGTGGGCTGGGGGCGGCGGGAGAACGGGAGGGGAAGGCGAGTAAGCCACACCGGTGGCGTGGAGGAGTGTCGTAGCTGGAAAGGAGGAGGACGCGAGCCCGCTCGGGGTCGCCTGCCCGCCTTCCGCAGCCCTTTCTGGGCACGGTGAAGCCCGCGGCCGGCGGCGTCCTTTGTTGTGATGGATGATCGAGGGGAGCTGCCACCCCGAAAGCTGCGGCTTTTGGGCTCCTGTTGTGTTGCTGAATCTTAAAGGGCCCCCCTTCCCCCTTGCTTTTACCTCTTTTTTTTTTCCTGTTCGGTAGAACCGTGGCAGACGTGTGGCAGCACCCTTTCGTGCAAGGGGCGCTGCGCGGTGCACTGGGCACCGGGCAGTACCTGAAAAGCCCTGGTGTCAGCTGAAAGCCAAACTTTCCCGTGTTACTTAACCAGGATATTGTTTGTTAATGGCACGGAGGCGGTAAGGTGTCTGCAGCACAGCCAGTTGGCAGAATCGAGGATGGGGTTGGCTTTCCCCAGTAGAGCGTCTGAGCTTTGCATCCGTCCTGCGAGCTGCCCCGTGGTGCCTGTATGAGTTGTTGGTGCGGGAGTCAGACCGCATTCGTTCGGTCACTTGGAACGCGTTAAGACCTGCAAGGTGTTTTAGTCTGGAGACCCACGTCGGAGGCGTTTTCTCTGCGCCGTGCGGTGGGTGTCGGAGGCTTGCGCGTCCTTCTGCTGAACTCAGGTGACTGCTCACGCAGATTCCCTTAGTGGAGCAGCGCTGCCGGCCTGCTTCCCTCTGCGCCCAGACCAGAGCAACACCCCCCCCCCCCCGCGTCCTAACTGGGGCTTTAAAAAGGATCACTTCCCCCCCGGTCATTACTGGAGCTATTCCTGTGGCAAACATTAAGGAAGAGCAACTGAAGCATGTGTTGATTGATCGACCCCACTGTCAAATCCAGGAAGAGTTCTTAAGGATTTAGATGACTTTCTCACGAGGGTTGTTATTCTTGTGGTAGAACACAGACCTTTTTGCAAATATTTTTTTTTCTCCTCGGTATGCCACTGAGATCAAAGTGAATTTCATCTAGAGCTGAGATCCTGCTTACAAAAAGAATTCCTTCCTTTAACTTCCTCTTTTGCAGCTTTTACCTTTTATACTAACTAGAAATAAGTAACTTGTTTCCACATAGGGGTTTGTGATGATTCTGGAAAATATGGATAAAAGATAAGTGGAAAGGAGTAATCAGTAACCCTGCCACTCACAAGTCACCAAAATGTTAGTAATTTCTATTCTTCCAGACTTCTTTTCTGCATATATGTATTTATTTTTAAAATGGTCTATTTTATATGCATATGCTTTTCTGCAACCTGCTGGTTTACATATTTGAGTAATGAAAATTTGCAGGTAAGACTTTTTCTGTTTTTTTTTTTTTTTTGTGGGTCATGAGACTTGAACTATGGGTCTGGGTGCTGTCCCTCAGCTCTTCAGCTCAAGGCTAGCACTCTACCACTGGAGCCACAGTGCCACTTCCGCCCTTTTCTGCTTATGTGGTGCTGAGGAATCGAACCCAGGGTCTCAAGTGTGGAAGGCAAGCATTCTACCACTGAGCTACCTTCCCAGCCCCTTGCAGATAACACCTTTAACATAAACTTTTATGGGGTAATTTACTGTTGGAAAAACAAAAGATACCAAAATCATGATTTTAAAAGTTTTCTTCCCTAGTCTTTTACTATGCTGTATGATTCAACAAATAAATCAGTGTAGTAAGTCTTAGCTTTTAAACTCTTGGGAGAGCAGACAATCTAAATTGGCAGTATCAAAGTTAGAAAGTTGCTTATTACAGATTTCATTCAGACTAAGTTTAGAGCTATCCTATAGCCTATGTGCGTGCTCCAAATGCAGTTCAAGCCCATAGCAATAAAGTCCTGGAAGATTTTTTTTTCTTTTCTTTTTTGGTCATGGGGCTTGAACTCTGGGCTTGGGTGCTGTCCTTGAGCTCTTCAGCTCAAAACCATCACTCTTATCGCTGGAGCCACGGAGCCACTTTCGATTTTCCTGCGGTGTATTTTAGATAAGAGTTTCATGGACTTTCCTGCCTGAGCTGGCTTTGAACCAGGATCCTCAGACCTCAGATTCCTGAGTAGCTAGGATTACCTGGAAGATTTAATGTAAAGTTGTGTTTTATTATTATTATTTTTTTTTGTCGGTCATGGGGCCTGAACTCTGGGTCTGGGCACTGTCCCTCAGCTCTTTTTTTTTGGGGGGGAGGTCCAGGAGGTCCAGTCATGGGGCCTGAACTCTTGGCCTGGGCGCTGTCCCCCAGCTCTTCAGCTCGAGGCCAGTGCTCTACCACTTGAGCCACAGCATCACTTCTGGCTTTTTTCTTATGTGGTGCTGAGGTATCCAACCCAGGGCCTCAGCGTGCAAGGCAAGCACTCTACCACTGAGCCACTTTCCCAGCCCTAGAGTTTGTTTGTTTTAATCGTATTCTTAGAAACTTTGCAAAGATTTTTTTTTAAGCATTGCTGGGGATTCAACCCAAGGTTTGTGATATGCTAGCCAACCATTCTGTCACTGAGCTACACCACCCTAAACCACAAAGGCAGCCCTTAACTGGCTATCTAACTTATTTACTTGATGTTTTCAATTAACATTGGGCATCAATGTAGTTTCTAGTTTTTCATTGTTATAAATAATACAGTGATGAATAATAGTTTTATATGGTTAACCCAAATTCTGAAGAGTTAACAGCAAGCAGCCCTACTCTGAAATATACTAAAGAAATTTTAGTGATTTTAAGTGAATGGTTTTCCACATAGGTAAACAAGTATATGCTGCATATGCGTACTTGGGCATGCCTAGAAAACTTATATGGAAGTTTTTTTGTAGATTGTGCCAATGAGGAGAGTACCTTTCACTTTGACATTTTTACTTTTTTTAGGGAAAGCATTTGAAATGTTTACCATAAATGGGTATTGCTTTAAAATGATTCTTGAAAAATGTAATTCTAAATTTACAGTATATACATACTGAGCATTTTAAAGTTGTATTTTTACTTTGGAGAAAGTTTCCTCCTCATTGCTTATTTTCATATTCAACTTTCATTTCCCCTTTTTCTTCTTTAAATTTAGGACAAAGCACAGATGTCTCAGTTTTGGAAAATACAGAATGAAAGTGTTTTACGCTTGCCTGCACTTACTAACAAGTGTTACAAGTGCAAAGCTACCAAAATTTAACTCCTTATAAAGGTGTTTCTGATTATAAATGGAGAAAGCATCCTGTGCTATATATACCAGTGTTTGGCTTCTAGTTTTTAAAATACAAGTTTGTACTTTTTGCATAGTACATTGTTTTAGTTTCCAGGACCCTATAAAACCTGAAATTTGATTAGGTGCCAGTGGCTTATCCCTATAATTCTAGCTACTCAGGAAGCTGAGATCTGAGAAGCGCAGCTCAAAGCCAGCCCAGACAGAAAAGTCTGAGAGACTCTTATTTCCAATTTATCACCAAAAAGTTGGCAGTGGAACTGTGGCTCAAGTGGTTAAGCACCAGCTTTGAGCAAAAAAGCTCAGGAATTCAAGCCCCGGGATTAGCAAACACACAAAAAAGAAGTGGTCCTCTCTAGACACTATGTTGGAAATGAAGTATATAACTTGTGGGAGGGGATAAGAGGGAAAACTGAGAGAGAAAAAGAAAAAATGTACTCTTTACCTGACTTAACCCGCTATATACATCAGCTTCGTGATAATAAAAAGAAACTACAAAATCTGAGCATCTCCATATCTCATGGAGATTTAAAATGGCTCGGTATTTGCATATTACATATGTACATCTTAGTTCCCCAATGTTGTGTATTTCAACGTTGTGTATTTTTCTTTTAAAGTTTGAACTCAGGGCAGTGGGCTATTGCCCTTACTGCTCAAGGCTCTATCAACTGAGCTACAACTCCCTGCTTTTCAGTAGTTAATTGGAGATAAGAGTTCTTAGAGGGCTGGGAAGGCTGGGTGCTTGCATAGCATGCAAGAAACCTGAGTTTGATTCCTCAGTACAACATAAACAGAAAAAGCCAAACTGGTACTGTGGCTCAAGTGGTAGAGTGCTAGCCTTGAGCACCGAGAGGCTCAGGGACAGGGTCCATGCCCTGAGTTCAAATCCCAGGACCAGGCCCCCCCCAAAAAAAGTTCCTAGAGACATTTTTTGGGGGGGGTCCGGTCCTGGGGCCTGAACTCTGGGCCTGGGCACTGTCCCTCAGCTCTTCAGCTCAAGGCTAGCGCTCTACCACTTGAACCACAGCGCCACTTCCGGCTTTTTTTCTTTTTGCTTATGTGGTGCTAGGGAATCAAATCCAGGGCCTCAGGCATGCAAGGCAAGCACTCTACCACTGAGCCAACTTCTCAGCCCCCTAGAGACATTTCTGTCCTGGCTGGCTTTGAGTCAGGGTTCTCAGATCTCATTCCCTTGAGTAGATATGATTACAGGAATGAGCCACCAGTGCCTAGCAAGTTTAATACTCATAGCAAGGGTAATGTAGGAGAAACTGACTTGTTAGATACTTTAAACAACTATACTTTTTTTTTTTTTGGGGGGGGGGTGATCCTGAGGCTTGAACTCTGGCCCTGGGCCAGTGTCACTGAGCTCAGTTGCAACACTCTGCATGCTCCTTAATCTGCCCTGACCAGGAGCAACACAATGGAGACCACACCGTGCAATTGAGATTTGGGGTACCAGACCTTTAGTCTTCAGCCAGCAACAGATCCCAAGGTTCCATTAACCAAGGTTTTTATTTTTATTTTTTTTATTGTAAAAATACTGTACAGAGGGGTT